AATTTTGCATATCCTGCATTATTCCCGAACGATTTCGGCCGCTTTTTTTTTTCCTACGTGGTCCGAGTGCGCGGCGTATCGGTGAATGCTTGTTAGCGATTTAGATTTCTGTGGTTGAAATAACTCCGGTCGGTTACGATCTCTGAATCTCGTTTATGAATTGGTGAATTTGGATTTCGAGGAGATTTGTTAGTAGCTTTGAATACGAGAGAAATTTTCGAGAAGTCGAGTGGCGTCGATCGTGGATCTTCATGCTTCTGTGATGAATAAACGGTTTTGCGAGAGTGAGAAATTTTTATTTTCACATTTTAATTTAACTGGTCGGAAAAGTGAGAAACAGGGGATTTTATTGAAACTTTTTGAACTTAAACAATGTGATTATATGATGGGAAACAGTGTAGAATTTTGCAGTCCCTTTGGTACAATTATTGCAGAGATGATTTGAGAGGTTATTAAGTAGATTGATTCGGTAATGATCTTGTAATATAAGTCAATCGATATTTTAAATAATAGTAATCTGAAGTAATTTATATTTGCATGAAGATCCAGAATTTAGTACCTTTTTCAAATTGAACGCATTGACTACGGCTAATTTTCAGAAAATTGAATTCTGTTGGCAATTTTCAATTTTCAACTCATTGTTATGTAATATAAAATATAATTCACTGTTATATAATATAAAACATACCTTATTGTTATGTAATATATTTTAAATAGATAATCGTTTCGTATCAAATTTAATATATCTTTCAATGCTGTGGTAATTAGCGAAGTTCCATAGCTAAGTGTCTTTATATGAAAACGAGATTTCTCGTAGCCAGTACGCAATGTGTTAGCACTATAATAATTAATTTGCTAAATTAATAGACTAGAACTCACCTGATAGAGCACGTCCAGAGAAATGGGGTACATCATCTGCTCAACGATGACTCTGAGGACTGTGTTGGGTCCCCCCTGAGTCTCAGCTTGTGTCTGGGCTACTTGGTTCTGTCCAGGAATTGCAACTTGGTTGTTAGAGTTCTGCAAACGAAAGGAAAAACCAGAAACTTAGTATGCTGTTCGAAATACAGTTCCCATGTGTGCAAAATGAATTTCTTCCCTAACTTAGATCCAGTTAAACTTGGAAAATATACCAGAATAAATCATCAATTCAAATAATTGTAAAAGAAGAAACCTGAAATGATTCATTCTCAGTCATCTGGTAGTTTTAGGATAAATAATGAAATATTTGAAAATTGTCAATTAATGTATCACACAGTAGAACAGTGAAAAAGAAATCTGTTGTCAAATGGTTGTAACATCAATTATTGTAAACATTTTTGAACAATATTTTCCAACAATAATTTCTATCAAATAACAAGACTCCAGATACAATAAATTACTTATACATTAGTTAACTTGATCCTCTATATTTACTATTAATACTAAATTATTGCTACTAATATTACTGTTTAATAACCTACCAATATCACTGCTTAACAATATACGAGATATCTCTCCAGATAACACTATTCAATAACAACCCAACAATGGCTGGGAAACATTCAATGCCCTAGATTACCATTAAATGATTTATTCATTAACTACGATCGCTTCGATTCAACATTAATTTCTGAGAAAGCAAACAAATATTTACATTTGCTCTAGATTTAGGAGCAGTGTAAACGATTCTTCCTACTAGTAATATCTCAAACAACATAATGATATGATCTAGTTTAAAAATATATCCAAAAAATAGCACACCTATGAAAAGAGCTGATGTCGGTTAAATGCCTAGTTCTCCTATTAACGCTCAAATCCGAAGTCTCAGAAATAAGTCAAAAATAAGTCGAAAACCAAGTCGAAGCCAACTGCGCCGGGGATTTGCATAAAACGTTAAAGAGGAACAGCGACACAGGAATTTCGACGCAGATGAAAACGCTGCACGGACGGCGGGGCTCTCTGAAACCGCACAGTCGCGCCGGAAGTCCCGTGAAAGAGGAACTTGTTACCAAGTTAGCCGACGGAACGATATTTCCACGCGAAGGGCAATCGATCGAGTGGCCCCGACAAGCGTTTTAAGTAATGTCGCGCGAGCCAAGTGGGCGGCAGGCAGATTTTCGAGAGTCACGCGAAAAATATTTGCAAACTTCCCGCTGAATGGATTACGCGGGACGCTCCCGGATTAAATAAATACCGGCCGCAATTCGGCGGCATCGAAAACAGGAGGAGGTTCAACGTTTCCGGCTTCTCGATTTTGAGAAAACATGGCGCTTTGGGCCCCGGAATCGCGGGTTGTGCAAGATTATTGCTGGAGTTGGAGGTTTTGGATTTGGAAGGTTTGTTTTGGGAGGTAATTGGGCGATTTGAGTAGTTGGGAACTGATTTTTGTGGAGGTTGTTGTGGTAGTTGGAGGTTTTGAACTTAAAATTCAATTCTGAGAGATTCATTTGTTAATTTGAGCATTTGGAAACCGATTTTTGTGGAGGTTGTTGTGGTAGTTGGAGGTTTTGAACTCGAAAATTCAATTTTGAGAGATTCATTTGTTAATTTGAGCATTTAAAATTGGAAAACAACTTTTGAAATTATGACATCAAATATTTTGAACTTGGGAAATATTTTTTGTAGACTTTATTGTGATAGTTCAGGGTTTTGAAGTTGAAAATTCAATTTTGAGAGATTCATTCGTTAATCTGAGCATTTGAAATTGGAAAATCAACGTTTGAAATTTTAAAACTGAGTGCTCTGAACTTGGAAATTCTCTTCTGCGAAATTTATTCTGATCGAAAATCAATTTTTAAATTTCAAAATCAAATATTCTTAACTTACAAATCAACTTTCACGAAATTCATGGTTCACCTTAAAGAATTTCAATCTTAAAACTCAACTTCCGTGCACATCTTACACAACTCACCGCCCAAAACATAATAAATCACTCGCAAACATTTCAACATCCACAGTGCAAAAATTGACTCTCCGCTTCCAAACAATTTTCACCCCTCCAAATTCAATATTTCCAAAATCCTTTTCCTCTGAAACGTTCCATAATACTCCCAACAGTATAATAATACCTAAAAAAGGTAATTCCTCCTGGCAGCATCATCGAGCAATAAAAACACACGT